AATCTTCTTTACGAAATAAATGAAAGGAATGAGAGGTAGGCTGGGGGCTGCCCTCTCGTGTCAACCATCAAGGAAAGGAGGCACTATGATTTGATGAAGTCCTTAAAAAGCAAGGGTCGACTAAAAAGAAATTTTTTTTTTTGCGTTGGTCGTGATGAATGGGTTGTTGGCCTTAGACACTACATGTTACTCCATAGGGGTGAGGGGGAAAAAAAAGAGAAACAACTACGGGTAAAATCCTTGATCTTTGTGTTAGCTCCTCTGCCCTACGCTACTCCCCGACTACCGATGTTAGTGCAGGGGGCAACATGCAATCCCTTGCAGAGCGAGGTAGCTACGCTCGCAAAGGCCCCATATATAACCTTAGGAGTAGTGGGAGGTAGGTAGTGAAAGGTGAACTTGAGGGACTTTAAGAGAAGCGTAATTAAGATAAAATCTCTTTCGAAAGGTTTGGCAGAAAAATTGTGGGATCCAGACTTGAATAAAAGTTTCAAAGGGGAACCGATAAGAAATAGCAAAGTCACCAACTGGGTGTAGCTCTATTTGTAAAACGCTCAAGTGGCACTCATGTGGTCGCAAAATGCTTGATCTTTGTGTTACCTAAACGACCCCACCCTACTCCCAGACTACCGTTGTTAGGGCAGGGGGGCAACATGCAATCCCTTCAGTATGGCTGTATCGAGGATGCAAGTGGGATTAGGGCTCTGCTTTGGGGGGGGGCAAGTTCCTAGGTGAGGTGATGTGGTCCTATTTGGGGGGTGGGTTGGTTGGGACGAGCTGTATTGGAAGATATGGGGGGGGGGGGGGGGGAGCCTTAGGGATCCCAATAGGAGGGTAGTTAGTAAACAAGCTATGGTGAAGGAGATCGTTCGGGAATCTGCAGTAAGGGCTATCTGACGGGGATCCCTTCGAGATAGGATTGTTTGCATCCCATCCTAATACAAGACTTCAACAACAACCCTAATTCATGATGGAAATAATAGAACGGATGGTGGTCTAGTACATACTAATGACAAAGACTGAGGCTCGTTTACAACCTTATAACAACAACAGAGGGATCTAGCTCATGACTGAGGTGAGCTAATGGATGATTGGATCGTAGGCCCCATTGATGACAGAGGCTAGGATCCCAACAGACGGGTGTCCAATCAAATAACGTTCAGAATAACCACAATAACAACATCACTAGGTAGGCAACCGAGGCCTATCAAAGGGATGTCATGAGGTTAAACCTTGGCTACCTTCTTCCCCCGAATACAACGCACAATCATTATAGCTGTATTTGAGGCATCTTTCAGTCTAGATACATTTAGAATGACCGTACGTTGTATTCGGGGGAAGAAGGTAGTGAGAGGCCATTAGACACAACCCGTGATATCTAGGGTATAGTTTGACTCGTATCCTCGGGGTGCATGTCAGTAACAACAATGCTGATTGGGGGACACACATGGGAGTTTAAACCCCCTCAGGAAAGGCATGTAGTTACATGTTTACCCCTACCGTCTTCCTCAAATAAAAGGTCTGGTCATTAAAGCTGTTTATAGGGCAACTTTCAGTTTAGATTGAGCAATAATGACCGGGTGTTGTATTCGGGTGAAGACGGTAGCTTCCGAAGTACTCGTGGCACAGGAATTGCTGGGCGTCCACTTTAACCAGGGCTGAGTGGGGAAAGTAGGGGTCCCACCGCTCAGCCTGGGAGCGGGAAACCGCTGTCCGGTGAGGTCACCTAGCTGAGTTCGCAGCCAGAGGCTGCGCTTACCATGACTGTTCTTTTGTCGTTTTCTGCAGTTGCTTTTTTGAGAAATGTCGTGGATGTCAAATGAGGTTTGGCGGAGTCTTTTCGGGGTTTAGGGAAAAGTGCAAAGGGTGCGGTCGCGGCTAGGAGACGGACCGGTAGTGGGAGTGGTCGTGCTAGACTTTGGGTAGTGTACATCCATCGGTCATTTCATCCGGTCGTTGGGCTTTGTTGCTGTCGGCGACCGGGTTTCCTTTTTGGGTGGAGGGTTGATCTTTTCTTGGGCTGTTATTGGGGGTTGTTTGGGGGTTATCTTGACTGTTCTTTTTGTCGTTTTCTATCTTTGCTTGTCGCGGATGTCGAACGAGGTTTGGTGGGGTCCTTTTGAACTGTGAGGCCCTCACGAAGGTGGAAGTTGCAGTAGTTCTTTGAGGAATGTATCTGGCTACCATGTGTGGAAGAGTTTGTTTTTTTTTGTTTTGCTTTTGTTCCCGTTCGTTGTACTGCCCTGCCAGCCAGGCAGGGCGTATTTAATGGGTGGCACGTCTCTACGCTGTAGCACCCTGTACCCGCCCTCAATCACAAAATAAGGGAGCTTTTTTTTTGGGGGGGGGGGG